AATCTTAATAGTAATCTACTTTTGGGAGAAAAGACTTAAGCCTATTTGTAACAAGGTGTTGCATGAGTGTTGTGAACTGACCTACAGAAAAGAATTTAAGAATTTTAAGCGCAGCTGATTCATCAAATACACAAAAAATTAACTATTCAAAGGAAATCCACATATCAGAATTTCAAACACAACGTGAAATAACAAAAGAAATAAGATTGATAAACAAGCATATTATATATGTATATATTATAATATTAGAGAGAAATACATAGGTATAAATAAGCATAATGAATTAAACTACACATTAAAAACCACAGTCTTCTATAAAAGACTGACTGACTGACTTTAAAAACATCAAGTGAAGGTTAAAAGCACCAGAGAACGAACGTGAGAAACAACAAAATAAAAGTGCAAATGGAGATGAGGAGGAGGAGGGGGGGGGTAGTCGTCTGCGTCAATCAACCAAATCTACTAAAAACCTACTTTGCTTTATGTAATATAGAGTGGATAAAATCAATATTATATATATGGATATAATCCGGACAAAAACGCGTCGATATTATTATTTAAAAAGATTACTCATAGATAAAGGGTGAATAAACTGGGAATCTTAGTTTAGGAACTAAATATTCAATTCAATAAACTTGAGAAATAAATGAAACCAAAATAAACACATCACAGAAAACAAAAAATATTAGTGGTAATAATATTACAGGAAACAAATAAAATAATGATAATAATGATAAACTGGATAACTTTGAGGAAATAAAACAAAAAAACTATTGGATAAAAGCTCATCATCTAAATTTACGACGTTTTGGTCTTCCACTCAAGTTGTCGGCTAATTCACAACTTCCTGAGTTTAATGACTGTTGTGATAATGAATATATAGGAGAATCTGCTGATTTACGATTAGTTGGTAAAAAGGATGGTACAGCTGATAAAATAGACGGTGGAGAGGATGAACGTGAAGGACTAGATGCTGAACGCGACTGTATACGAATTGGTGGTTTAATAATGCTTGACCGTGGTGTAACACCCTCTACAGATGGCATATTTTCCAAAGATCCAGTAGAATTTATTTCTCTTGAAGGAACAGCTGTTGTTGCATAATCATCATCTATCCGAAAGGATTGGCGAGATGCAGGATTAGAAGTATTAGTCGACGATGATGATGATGACGACGACGATGACAACCCACCAGGACTAGACCGTTGAGAAAGAGATCTTACAGGACAAGTACTAGATCCATCAGAGGAGACAGAAGGTGAAAATGCAGAGATTGAACTGGAAACTAGGCTTGTAGCATTACTGTCGCTTGTCAATGCACCCATTGAATTCAGAGTATTCGCCGTATTTGTGACAAAATGCATCACTGCATTGGTACGCCCAAGGGTGGTTGATGGAGAATAGTTTGACATTGTGCAGAGAATCGGTTTTTGTGGTTGAAGAACAGATATATGACTAGAAGATACATACTCTGTTCCAGAAACAGTTCCAGTCTAAAAATGAAGACAATACATAAAACAAAACAGTAAAACCCTACTTGATAATAATAATTTGCCTTATTCCAAAACAGTACTTGCGATACAGAATGGAATTCTCAGTATTTAACTTCAGTACTGCATCCAGTTAGTAAATTAACAATAAAATAAAATTCTACATAGATTATGGGTAATCTCAGTTCATTATGACAACAACATTATTGGTATGTCGGTAGCAAAGCCAAAATTGAACAGAGTGTTTGAAGGTGCTAGAAAAGTAGGTGCTAGCACATTTACTGGCGTAAGCGGTAACAAAATGGTCGAGATATACATGGTGTGAAAGAAAGAAGAAGAACGCCTTAAATAGAGTTTGTATGGAAGAAAGAAACAAAGCAGCACACAACAGAAAACAGAGAGAGAAAAGGGAAAGAAAGAAAGAAACAACACGTTGTACCTATAAATGATATGAGTTGGAAAGACGAGATCCAGTCGTTCTACTGACTATTTAATAAGTTAAAGGTTTCATGCCCAATGCTTTCTTTATCACACAGAACACGAGCTAAGTAGGGTATGGTTGAGTTTTTGTACTTACTAGTACGAGCATATAGTTTTTTATGTAGGCTTCTGGTTTCGCCTGAGGAGATACAAGGGGAGAGTTGTGAATGAAGAGAGTGTCGTGAGTTAGATAAAATGGATTTAGCCCATTTTTCACATGAGTCCATGTGCCTGTCAACCAGAATATTAACAAGCTGGTTAAGTGGCACGTAGCTTACCCTGCTGACAACCTTTAACATCCTGCGTAAGTAAGGGTCGGATTATACCAGAATGTCTTAACTTCTTGATGTAGAAGGCAAGGAGGAATAATTTCTTAGAAATCATCAAGATATGAGACAACCAGGAAAGATCAGCAGACAGAATGACGTCTAGGTATTTAATTTCTGACTTGGTCTCTATTTCAGTGCCATTAATGTTGCACACCTCGTGAGTGCTAACCAGTTTGTTTAGGTCAGATTTGTGCCTAAAGGTGAAATTTACTGTTTGGCATTTGGAGGGGCTTAAGGTGGTAAGACCGTTTTCCTTGGATCATTGGCTGACTTCTGATAAAAAGCCGTTTAGTTTAGTGCAGTCACTTTGACATTTGACAGGCAAAGATACAGTTAGGTCATCAGCATATCTGACAAAATTAATGTCATTTGAAGATGGTAGGTCATGTAGAAAGAAAGAAAAAAGAAGTGGGGAAAGTACAGCACCTTGGGGGACACCAGCTTCAGTGAGCACAGCACAGGAGGATTTGCCTTTGTATACGGTATACTGCATTCTGTTTGAAAAGTAGGAATGCAACCAGTTAGTGACCCAGGACTCAGTTTGTGTCATGGAGAGCTTATTTAGCAAGAGACATCTAGGTACAGAGCCGAAAGCAGAAGTGAAGTCAAGAAACGTGCAGTGGACGTATTTGGCACCTTTATCTAATGATGAGACGATATTGTTGTGTAAGACGGCTGCAGCGTCTACAGTACTTCTACCCTGTCTATAGGCAAATTGTTTGAGGTCTTCAAAGCTTTCAAGGGAGGGTTCGAGTTTAAGAAGTACTAGTTTTTCCATAAGATTTAGAAACGGGGAAGTGATGGCAATGGATCTGAACTTTACGTTTTTGCTATTTCCAGGTTTAGGAACAGGGACTATTTTAATGTCTTTCCATGCAACAGGTACAACGTTTTCGGAGAAAGAAGCATTTAGGATGTTAGTTAGAGGAGAACATAAAGCATCTGCGCATTGTTTTAGAACATATGCAGGTATACCATCAGGGCCAAGACTACATGAGTGCTTAAGAGTTTTAAGACATTTTAAAACATCGAGAGTGTTAAAGTCCTGGAAGTTATCAGCTACATGATTAGTGACATTAGAAGTGGTTATAGTAGAAGGAGAGCGTATAAAAGACTGATTAAGAGCGTTAACATCATAAGAGGGAAAAGCGTTACATCGCTTACTATTGCCAGTAATTTCATTGAAAAGTTTCCACATGCTGACAGGAGATTTGCATGATAAAAGTGTTTGGTTATAGTTAGCATTAAGATTTTTGATTTCAGATTTGATTTGAGCACTACTCTTTTTAAGTCCTAACTTATCTTTGAGTTTATATAATGTTTCTTTTTGCTTGAGAAGTTATTTGAGATGATGAGACGAGAAGCGGTCGAGGCGTTTGAATAGTGTTTGTTTGGGACAGCATATATCAAGGCAGAACTTGAGATAATCCATTATATCGGTGATTGAGTCGTCTAATGTACTTTCACAGAATAAATCTCAGTTAGTATTTTTTTTAACATGCATCTTAGATTGAGTAGATTGTCAGATGTATAGCATCTTTGTTGTGCTTTCATAGACAGGTGTCAGAAGACTTTAATTTGTTTTGCTGTATATTTTTGGTAAAACACGGACAATACAGTGATCGGAGTTTAGTATCGGTGAACGTCTACGTGTTTCATATACTCCTTCGTCATTAGTTAAAACTAGATCGAGTGTTTTGTCAAGTCGAGTGGGAAATTTGACTATGTTTGTGTAACCAAGTGCTTCAATTATTACCGAAACATAAGTCCAGTAATACTTAGGAATCTTTGCACAAATGATAAGAGCTCAAAGGTTAATTATGAATTCGTAATCTTCTCTAACTACACATTATTCCTCTGTTAAATAACGGTCAGAGAAAGTTCACGTACTCAGCTAACACTTGTGCAGAGATGTAAGGTTGGTTAAGCTTCAGACAGGAAAAATATAACTGGGTAATCAGTCAATGAACCGATAGAATGTGAATTCATTTCGGTGACGAAATTTAAAAAACCTAACTAGCTGTAGGAGATATAATTTACTAGATGAGATTTAATAGTTCACATTATTATTATTAGTTTTCGAACCATGCCAAATCGCATAAAAATTCACAGAGAGAAACAGAGAACATTCCCCATACCACTTTGATAGTTGTCACATCTAAAATGCAAAAAAAATTACCTATGTCCGCGTCCACCTATCTATTGACTAATTGTTTTAGAAAAAGTGGCAGATAAATAATAGTAATATAATAATAATAAATTAATACCGAAAAATTAAGGTGACCTGTTTACCGAAAACTTGAGAGATACAGAACACCAAGTTAAAACACAAAGGGAGTAGAGTAATAATGGGTAGAAATAATCTCAAATTATTGGTGACAAGTCGTCGTAACCTAGGCTAATCCACGAAATCGTATTTTGGAGTGAGTGATTCATAACTCGGTACAACAACACAATATGACAGCAAGAAAGGCAGCAACATAAGGAAGCCAGAAGAGCACTGGGTATTTCACGCACATACACACACACGCACACAAACCAACCGTTCATCTTTCTTGACCTTATCCTTGAAATTTACTGAGTCTGTTACAGTTTTATTATTATTATTATTCGCGCGATTATAACAACCCGTATTGTAAGTGAGTGAGTCACAATTCAGACTAAGCAAAACTCTTATTCCATACAGCAATGCCATACTTACGCATTCCATGGACGCAGACGACTGAAGCATATCTTGTGACACACAACGATACATTGGGACACCTGATGGATTCGGTGAAATCAAACGAAGTGCGACGTTATTAGTCGGACAAGTAGTGTTAGTGGTAACAGAAGTGGTTGGTGTTGGGGTGCTGCACGCTTCCTCACCATCCATTCGTTGAACTAAACGCTGCAGCTCTTGAACCTAAAAAAAATTTGAAAATACGATGAAAATAATACGGCACCAAATACACATACATAAACACCACACACACACAAATTTATAATAAATGAAAAAGCTTAATTTGAGTACTTTGTTACTTGATCGCACACCGCGAAAAATTGGTGCTACTCATTAATAACCTAATGAAACTCAGTTAAACCTGCAGAAATATAGCCAATAGAAGAAGGTCAATAACACAACCGTCACTTTTTAAATTGCTTTGGTCAACCAGCATTCATAGTCAAAATTATCCACGTGAGCTACAAAATCGGATGAATTTTCGGGCTTTTTTTCCAGAAAACACAAATGATTCGATAGCTCAAGACGGAAGAGAGATAAACAGCATAAATTCAAAATCATTAGAACATTAAACTTACACGTGAATCTAATATATCATTTTGTCGTTTAAGTGTTTCAACGCAAACGGTATGATCACGATTCAATTTAACTAGTTCTTCAATACATTCAACTGCTCGTTGCAGTATAACCGCTCTAGACGCTTTTGATCCTCGAAGGCCTGGTATCACTTCACGCAGATCGTTATAACTTGTTTTTATGCTGGCGCGTCTCTTACGCTCAAGTTGGTTGTGATGATCCCGTCTAAAATTAGATTTAGAGTAGTAAAAACTATTCGTTAGACTAACCAAAAGGAAAATTTCGGTAAAATACTAAGCTGAGAGCAGTCCACAATTACAAAAATAGACTACGCAGAAAATACTAAAGCCTGGAATGGTTATTAATGATCGTTGGAATGATAAGTAAACTATTTGTTACGCAAAATTGTTGAGGGCGAAAGCCACACTATTATTTTATTACTGTTTCCTTAGGTTTCTAGAGGGACATACGGCTTCACAACAGCAGATCTCCATTGTCTCATTCACTGCACTCCTTTCTTCAGCTGATCCCACGATTGCCCATAGGCTCTCATCTATTCACACGATATTTTCCATGTCCACCTCAGACGGCAGTATCTTCGTTTCCTGTTCGGGTTCCACCCAAAGACCTCGTGGGCGATGTCAGCTGACAGCTTCTGCGGCGTATGTTAGACCCATCTCCATTTTCTTCGGCATATTTGCTTGAGCAATGGGTTTCCGATCGGTTCGTTCCCAGAATCTCTTGCTGCTAATTGCTTCTGGATGGTTATCAGTTCTTTAGTATGTAGCCAGAGAAGACAACTGTTGGTAAAAGTTTGCAGTAACCTGTTAGAAATGCTTTTCGTGACGCGTGCGATAAGTTCCTGATACAAACAGAACTGACTGACACTTGTGTTGAAACTCAGAATCTAGTGAAACTACACTTGAGGCTATGATTCGCATACACCCAAGTCGGCAAGCTTAAGCTCCATACAGTGAAAAGTGAGGAAATTACATGATTGATAACTTGAAAAGATATATCAGTCCAAGAAAACTAAGCATGAAAAAGTGAGAAAAGTTAGACGCTCAGACAATCACATTACCGGCTGATGTTTAATGTACCAGCAGTCAGTAGAAAAAGCACACTGAGTTTAACTATGGAGACTCATAACGGTCAACTGAAAAACGTATCTATTGCAATCTTCAAACTAGCATCTGTCGCATCTATTAACACGAATAACACCGTTGTAAGTTATCAGTGGGGAGAATATGAGACAATCAGGAACTTTTTAGAAAATGCGTGGACCGACTACGGATCATTTCGTGTACATATATGTCTTAATAAAAGTAAGTTCTTCAAATACCTGGCTACTGATAAGAAGACCAAGTCTGTATTAACGGATATAAATACTCATTCTCGGAGGGCCTGGTATCACATCCAAACCGTTGTAGAAACAGTGGTACAAGGTATTGATAACCTGCAGGCGAATTCCGCTATCCTTGCCTCAGATGATTAGTGCAGGTTACGAACTTGAAACGGAAAACTGTTGACTAAAAGTTTTCACAACCACTGAGAACAATGACAAGTGATGTTAAACGAAGGTAAGAATGGCATGAGTACACACACTTTGGGTTTATTAGGGAAGGAGGCTCTACAGAAGATTTGAAGAGAACTATCTCCGAGGATTGAACTTCACTAACTTCTCAGGACAGACAATGTTTACCGAAGTTACACCTAACACGTGCAGCAGAAATGACTCAACACCAATACCAGAGATGAGAATATTATTAATAAAACCAAAGGATAATTATAGGGATTATATGAATGGGGTTAGAAAGTTATATGAGTGCCTTGAGACAATTATAAGCAGTCTGTCTCTGTTTTCGACATAGAACTTTGCACAAATGTGCGGAAGTTCAAGTCGCCACATTCCGTGTAGCACGCGAAGCAAGAGAAGAAAGTACAAGAAAAGCATAATAGAAACAGTGAGCAGAGGTGTGAGACAAAGGAGTAATAAAGAAATACAAAACAGTTTCATTGAAGATCATAAGTCACAGGGAGTGGATGCATCTGCGCCACTGAGAACGATTTTGAGCCATGTCACCAATTGTTTCCAACCATAGATTTTTACCGTCCCGAGGACCCCAGCCTGGAAGTCTACACCTTTCTACGTGGCTTAGACCAACTGTTGTGGATTTCATTGACTGATGCCAAGTTTTTGTTTGACCCTATATCCGCTAACATAGCTCGTCGAGGGAGGCGATGGCTTGGCATACGTAACACATGTCCTAACCATCTCAGTCTTTGTAGCTTCACGACTTCGTCGATTGATTTCCCCTGTTTACCTAGAACTCTACGCCTAACCTCCATGTTGCTCACCTTATTATGCCACTTTACACGGGAAATAGAACGCAGGCACCTATGATCAAAGACAGCTAGTCTTTTCATGTCTTCCACTCTCAGTGGCCAGGTCTCACAACCATAAAGGAGGACGGAGCGGACTGATGAGCAGTACACCCGCCCTTTGGTCGATAGTCGAACATCTCGTCTACGCCAGAGTCGGCGTAAACTAACAAATGCGAAACGAGCCCCTTGTATTCGTGCTGAGATTTCGTCAGAGATCAGCCCGTTGGGGCTGATGGTACTTCCCAAATAAGTGAAGCGGTCAACGTGCTCTACCACTTCACTTCCTATTTTTAAACTAGGCGTCGATGTAGTCCAGTCCTGTAACATCATCTTGCATTTGGCGGGAGCGAATCGCATGCCAAACATTCGTAGATTGCGGCTCAAGGTGCATTTCGTCAGCGTCTTCGCCTAGAAGGACTATATCGTCTGCATATTCCAAGTCAACGAGATTATTCCCCGGTAGCAAGTCAATCCCTGAGTCGCTGAAGTCACCTAGGGTTAAGTCCATTAACACATCTATGATGAAGTTGAATAGAAAAGGAGATAATGGGCATCCTTGACGGACACCACTGGTCGTCATCAGTTCAGATGACAGCTCGCCGTAAGCCCTCACCTGGCTGTATGAGTACGAGTAGAGTGCCTTAATCAGTGCAATATATTTTCTTGGAATTCCCTTTACAGCCAAGCATCTCCAGAGAACTTCCCGATCGACAGAGTCGAATGCTGCCTTTAGGTCAAGAAATATAATGACTGTTGGACGCCGGTAGGAATGCCTATGTTCTAGAATCTGTCGGAGGGTGAAGATATGATCAATACACCCTCTTCCTGGTCTAAAGCCTGCCTGGCTCTCTCGTGTTTGTGCTTCCCGAGCACCACTCAGTCTACGCATGATTATTGAGCCTAAGACTTTAGATACTATATTAGTCAAGCTAATCCCTCTGTGATTATCACAGGAAGACTTGTCTCCCTTCTTGTATATGGGGATAATCAGTGACTTACACCAACCCGATGGGACTTCTTCTGATTCCCAGACGCTGCCTAGTACCTCAGTTAATCCGGACAGTAAGCTGTCTCCACCGTACTTAAATACCTCTGGAGTCATTCCATCAGGTCCCGCTGCTTTGCCTAGTTTCAGATTGGTGACAGCTTTAGTAACCTCAGTTAGTGACGGAGGACCTGTGTTTATATCCCATTCAGGGAGGTGTTGGATGCTCGGAAGGTTGAGCGTGGCTGTGGGCAAATTAAACTGCTCCTCATAATGCTCTTTCCAACGATCCAGTCGTCTATCCTGGGAGCTAATTATAGTGCCATTTTTTTCCGAGATTGTCTCACTGATGATTTGTCTTCTCCCACCCGTTTCCCTGATGAGTCCAAAGAGTTGCCTGGTGTTGCCTATCCTCGAAGCTTTCTCCATCTCTTTGGCTTTTGTCGCCCACCACTGTTCACGGTCCTTGCGGAGACTTTTCGTAAGTTTCCTCTTGTGCAGCTTTCGCTCCTCATTGAATTCGGAGCTCGCCGGAATAAGTCTTCTAGCATCTATCAGTTCGGATGAGGCGGTGGAGATCCAGTGGTTTTTACTCACCTTTGGGTTTACCTTATTCACAGCTTTTACAGCTGTATCTATGGCTGCCTGGATATTTTTCCAAGCTTCTTCAGGGTGAGCACAGCTGTCGAACACAGATATGTGTTTAGCTAGTTCTTCCTCAAATACGGATTTAGTTTCCTGATCGAGCTGGGGACGTGATGGTTTTACCGCCAGCTGTTTCCTACGTCCGTTCAGTCGTAAGCACACCCGAGCGCGGACCAGTGCATGGTCGGTATCTACGCACGTGTTCCAGAAGGAGCGACAATCTCCTACCGACCCACGCCAACGATAGCTTATTGCTATGTGGTCTATTTGTGTCCAGCGTTGGTTTGATGAAGGGGGTCTCCAAGTCAAACAGTGTCTCTCCTTGTGTTTGAAGTTAGTGCTTACAAGAAACAAATGATTATCAGAGCAGAACTGTAGGAGACGGTCACCGTTGTCGGTTCGCTGGCACGGAGCTCCATAGGTGCCACCGGAACGTCATCAGTAAATATTACCGTACCACTGATTTTATTAAATAAATCTACTCTTTGACAATTAAACTACCACAAAGCCCAAGTACTACACTCATACTAAATGTCACCAAGTACTCAGATTTGGAAAAATACAATCCAGCGTTATTCTGGGGAAGAACCAGTGAAATAAGAAGGAAATGACAAATCAATGCCAACTAAGCCTATGAGGTATCTACTGCTACTAACAGACATATGCATTGCAGGACCCCGAACAGGGCTCACAGAGAAATAAACTTGCGAATGGAAAACTTGACCAGTACAACTCATTCGAATGCTGAATGAACGCTAGTAACTAGGCAAGATTATCAAATCATTCAAAAGTAATCGCACCCTGTAAATTTGACTTAATATTGTCTACACAAGAGCGTTCAATGCAATTATTAACTCGTATTGATAACTCAGGCTGCCAAAAAACACGTTGAGACTACTTAGAATGACTAAAACCGAAAATAAACGTAAAATGTGTCGAATAACTCTGAGTTTAGCGTGAAATGAATCCTAATAATTTCGCTTAGTATCCCGTCAATTAACCGACATACACAACCCAGGATTTCTTAAATAAGTGAGTGGCTACATTTTACGATGCCTAAATTAAAATACAGTACGACTGAATTGTCTTACACATAAGGGAGCGTAGACAGCTTAGCGTATTATATTTGGTTCTGTCTGCCTACGAAGGCTGGCAAATAACCATTCTTCTTTACTACTCTAATAACCAAACTCCGGATATATATGCATATAAGATTCATTGTGATCACATAATTTATAAATCTGCAAACAATAAGGACAAGTGCTTACCGATTATCTTCGCCAGTTTCGACATTATACATAGCACCACCTTCACTAATTGAGCGTTGACGCCGCATATCTGAAGCTTTGCTTTCGGTGCCAGTGTTACCGAAACTATGACTTCCAAATCCAGATGACCCAGGTATGTCATCATCATCATAGTCGCTAAGCCCTTCGTAACCGTCAACGTCATCGTCGTCTAAATCTTCGTCATCCACATCCTCTTCGAAATGCTCTTCATGCATGGATTTCTCAGCATATGAATTTAGGCACCGAGCCATCGCTGCTGCTCCTCAGGAGTCAGATTTCTGCAACAAGTCTAATATCATTTTCCTCAGCTAAGCCTCAAGCAAACCACGAGCCGCCAGAGTAAACAAAGGCACCAGTCAAGGTCAGAGTCCATCTTCGACTCGTACAACCTGAGACTTTGTGAAGGTTGTTTAAAACAAGCAGTCTCGAGAATAGGCCGTTTTACGCGTTTAACTGTTATTCAATCGGCTGAACGACTTAGCTTCTGTAAATACTTATTGGATTACATGGTTATCGCACTTCATATACCCGTAATAACTGACCTACGTAGGCTTGGACCCTTATGTTAATCCCTTTCTATTAAATTCCTGTGCATGTCCAAACCTCTCTCTCTCTACAAGCACCACTTCTTCTGGGAGTTGGTTCCAAAAGCTTATGACTTGGTGTGAGAACCAGTACTCAACAGCAGTATGATCTTTTCATGGCTTTTGAACCCCCCTGTTATGTCTTCTAAGGTGTTCCGACCCGGTGAGAAGAAAAAGAGGGAAAAGGCCAGGTATGTAGTCATTATTTGAAATTTTAGGCATTGTGATGAAATCTCTCTGCCTACAGTACAACAGGGAGAAGAGATTTACACTGGTCTTTCCTCATATGATAAATTAGTCATGTCGAGAATCATACGTAATGCTTTTCTTTGAGCCCTTTCTAGAATATGTGAGTCCCGTTTAAGACAAAACTGACTGGCTGTCTGGATACAGTTTCCCAGTATTGACCCCACCAGGGATGGATATAAGGGGGAGGATATCTCTGGTGATTCCAGTAGAGGCTCTGCGAATTGCCCATAAGGATCTGAAACTACGTGTATAGAACAACAGGGTGAGCAGAGATAACTCACTGATATAAAAATGAATAAGAGAGCCCCAAGCACCGTGCCTTGTGGGACCTCACCACACACTGCTATCCAGGAGGAGAGCTTCAAGCTGATTCTGACCCTATGCCTCCTATCCATAAGGAATTTCCTAATCCACTTTAGTAGGTTGCCCTGGATTCCAAGACTTTCCAACTTCATGAAGTCTTTTGTGGGGAACTATATCGAAGGCTTTGCTGAAGTCTATGAAGTTTGTGCCAACTGGTCTTCTGCTGTCCCTCGATTTGACTAAGCTTTAACTTGCAGTGGGAAGATTGGTCAGGCATGAGAGGTTCCTCGAAAGCCACGGTGTGCTCTGGATAACAAGTTGTTGTTTTCCAGAAATGCCATGATAACTTTCCAAATGATTCTTTCCGGTGTCTTGATTGAGGTGCTGGTGATACTAGCAGGCCTTTAGTTTGAAGTGCATTGTCCCGATCCTCCTTTATGGATCGGGGTTACTATGGCGTCTTCCCACACACGCGTTAACACTCCATTTAGGAGATATAGCTTGAAGATCGTGGTCAGTGGGCCAGATACATGAGCTGGTAGCTCCTTGGAAAGACTTGGATTAAGATTAGCAGGACCTATTGATTTCCCTACATCTAGCTTGTTTAGGCAGTCGAGCGCGCCTTCTTTGTCAGCGTCAACGGAGTCTATCATGTGCCCCTCTGGTGCAGCAAGAGCTGATCCTACGGGGAGTGACGACTCCTGAGTAAAGACTTGGGAGAAGCAGTCTGCCATTTCCCCTGCTTTTTCTTGATCTTGCAGACTAATCAAAATATTGAAGTGCAATCTAGTGAAGATTAAACATCCAGTTGATGACTCAATAAATATGTATACATATGCATATATTTCACTGCTACTGGAAGCACTAGAAAACAAAATACTCGTGCCTGATCCTTGAAAAATAATTTACCACTTAATAAAAAGCCAAACTACATCTTGGTAACCTGTTGATTTCTCCGCTAGGTAAAGAAAATGGATGGTTTCCAGTAATACAACCGAATACTATCCAGATTCTTAGAGGTCTATGACATTCATAACGAACATATTACAAAACGAGTGACGGTTTATCAAACTGATTTAAAAGGATATTTGAGAAACTTCGGCTGCAAACTAGAGACGAATTCACTGAATATTACATTCAGCTTAGCATACAGTTTCATTATCATCCTTTGAGAAAATATATCCCCGACATTCCTATAGAGCTCTTCTAACGTCATTTCGACAGTTCCGCTAAGAAAAACCGCCTTTGTTGCACTTTGCAGCTTCGAGCATGAGTCCTGAAAAATTTGTAGGGCTGAAGGAAGGATCTTAAGACTGGATTTTCAGTGATTTATTCAAGGAAAGCAACGTTTCCAGCCCTTTGAGATGGACCAAGGGATGAAACGTTTAGTTACTTGGGCGCGAAGTTGTGTAAACTGTTTCCATTTGGCTTCTGCTTGGGGCTCCGGGTTTATGTATCAGTTCAATGTGTTGGAAGCAGAGACGGTCGTATTTATATCAGCATTCCAAACTCGTGATTGTGGTTGGGTTTCGGCCCATGGTACTGCTGCTAAGAACCTGCAGGTAACCACAGTGTCAGCCAACTCTCAGAAAATGTCAATGTCCAGTTCTTACTACGCTGGAACTCAGGCTGTCCCTGCAAGACTTTCAGAAACAATTTGTAATAACCAACGCGAAAACCAGAACACTGATCGGCGACTCGAGAATCCTTTATTCTTACGCCTATATGTAACCAACAATAAGGTCATTATACACAAATTTTCTGACAGATTTCTGTCTTCCACTGAATAGCGAACGATGAGACGATGACTGTCGTATTGATGCCTCCGCGAAAATCGAGGAAGTTGGTTTTGAGCACACAACAATGAATTGATCGTTCAATCTTCAACTACATTGACACTCCCCGGCAAAATACGGATCCAACCCCTTTTTTCCATCACAACCAATACACGTCGACTTGGATGCCATTGCGAGAACCTGGGTCACACGGACAGAGCTGAAATGGAAAACAAACAGAAAAGCCAACACACCACAAGCATACCCACAGCACAATCTCACACATCGCTGACGACCTGCGCCTCCAGACAGAGACCTCCTCTTGACATCTTGCAACACAATCGCCACTTGCTAGAATGACTCTTGCAGAATGCAACGTGACCATAGCACCACCTCACGATACCCTACGCTCATCCTCTTATCTACTCACTACCAACTACCACTGAAATCGCTTGTCACTCATTATGCCTCAGTCCTAGTAACGGTGACGTATGCGAGCCTCAGTCGTTTACACTCCCGCTCCCCGGCGTGTGGGACTACAGCTAATCATTATCTCCGTATGCATTTCATTCTCAGCAATAGCCTAGCCTCCCCGGCGTATACAACCCATCTGCTGTCCTTAACATCAATCAATTCATTCACGGATGTAGAAGACTAGAAACAACTTCAGAAGTAATCACGACGAAAATTTTAACAAAATTATGCAATAAAAACAAGGCACGAAAACAACGAGTAAACACAACTGATCCAAAATACACCAATTGATAGAGCACACCACACGTATATACAAACAGTACAAACAAACTCGCAGATCGTATCTCGATGGAATTCCTTTGAAGAATCGCAGGACTTACACCAGTACGCCTGCAACCCTTCACAGACTGACGATTGTAAGTTGTGGAATGTCCGGACACAAACAAGATTAACCAACAATTACAATAATTGGAACTCATACAATTATTTAACACAAACATATGTACAATCAACACATTAAATGTTGTGGATTCTGGAACGACAAACTACCCTTGAAGAACTGTAGGACTTACAGCAGTACGCCCACGTTCCTTCTCAGGTTGATGATCCAAGTGGAAGACGTCCGGACACAAACAAAATTACCAACAGATAGATGAGAGATGATACCAGTTCAGTATATACAACATGAACATATGTGCAAAATAACACCCCAAGTACGATGGACTGAGCTTCAACGTACTACCCTTGAAGAATTGTAGGACTTACAGCAGTACGCCTACAACCCCTCTCAGGTTGACGACCTAGGTTGGAAAATCGTCGCACAGTTCATTTGCTGACTTCCCTCTATCAGCCATATCCTCAAATCTGAACAGTAACACGCTCATGTCATTGTATCGTAGAATATAGATGACTAACAAACACACGACGTATCTGGTCAACCAAGCGTAGGCACAGAGTAATTTACACCAAAGATAATAGCATTCAAATAGTAACTTGAAACTAGAAATGCCTTTATTCGTGCAAGTCAATTTAACAATTACTCCCTCGTTTACACGTGCTTTTCCTCTCTAACCGGAAATATCCAATTTTGTGAATTATTCGTTTGGGAAACCTGATCTTCCTACCCGGCGAATTTTATTCAACCATTTCTTCCTCACCGAGCCTGTGTGTGGTACTTCCCGCTGTCTCGAACTACTGCCAAAGCTTCAGGTGCTACTTCTGTAGCAACATCCTCCTCACTCTTTCAAATATACAGGACTTGTGGGTCTGTTACGTGATTGCTGTGAAGCCGAATAACCCGAAAGTTACAGGTAAAGTCAAAAGCTTTTACTTACACACTTTATCCTTCTTTTCTGTGCTCTCTATTGTCTTTTGCTGTAAGTCTATTGGACAAAATAACAGTCTCTTATTATTTAATCACCAGTATTAATTTAGGAGTAAAATGACAATAGATTCTCACCCTAAAATAAGTAATGGGACATCATACTCTGTAGTTACCAGGGCTTCAGCCAAACTGGGCAAACAGGTGAAGCTGATGGACTCACGCATACCGGTCTTGAAGACCAGGGCTGATATTCCCAGCTCGTACAGATTACCCATGTCGCCACAGTCCTACAGTGAAGCTGTGCAAAGTCAGCCAAGTGGATGTGGCTCCACCCCTGTTAACACGACTAGGTTAACAGATCCGAGTGGGAAAATTGCACTAAGTGAGAACTGCATAACACCCATCCCCATGGTAGACCATGAAACAAATAGGAAGGCCAAAAAGAAACGTTCACGACGTCGCAAGACGACAAGAACGCTCCCCAAGAAGGCAGACGACTGCAAGGTCTGCGCTTCTGTTGTCGAACAAGCAGACTCTGCTTT